GCTGAAATAAAAATTGTGCGGCCTGGCGTCAGGGTAAAGTTAAGTTTTGTGCGAAATACATTTATAAAATTAACACCAAGTTACACTGTACCATAGTTTCAAAGGACATTTAAAAAATAATTAAGCATTTAGAACGTCAAATTAGTATAATCAATAATTTGCACAAATACAAATTAAAACACATGGGAAATATCCCTCTGATTTACTGTTTTCTACACTGAACTGCCCGTAACAATAATCTGTTTAACTCTAGGCTATCATTATCAAACTTTAAGCCGTTCCTCGTCCCGGGCAATAAGTACAAAAGGGTTTGTATTCATTGGCCCGATCAAATTGAGTCACAGCCATCGATCTCTATTATTGGTCACAGCTTGGCACACAAAAGAAAAATGCAGTGTTATGGTCTTCATTCTTAATTTACACATTTAGATGTATGAATTCATTTACATCCCTGCGAGAATCAAACAAAACTATGTATATTGTATGTATTTTAGTATTGACGAAAACTACTGAGTTTTTTAAAAAATTGTAAAAAGTAAAGTGGCTTTCAAAATTTATATAAAACAGTCGATGTTTGATTAAGTTGAATTAACTTTCATAAAACAGAGCCCTCGCAATGCAAAATATAACTTTGTTTAAATTACAACTGTAATTAATTTATGAGTTTACAACTAGATGGCATCGGAGTAAAGTTCTCTGGCGGCCAGTTTAGGAACTCGTTACACTTTAAATTTACTGTCAAAATATTGATGTGAAGTGTTTCCTCTCCCAGTGCAAACGCAACGCACGAGTATAACTGCAATAGGCATTTTATGATTATACGCTAACCCCGTACGAAGGACGGGTACTCGGCTAGTTTCTTTTAAGTATGAATAACATTGAAAACTCCAGAGCCACTGAGGCAGAGCCCGAAAGGGTTTTTGAGAAGGAATAAAGCAGCAAAAAAAGCAATGAGAACGGTACAAGTAGGATTGTTTACAGGTATGGTTATGTTTTTAATTTAATAAATAATTTGTGATATTGAGCGAATGTTTGATCATTTACTTTAATCTGTTGTTTAGTTGCAATGGTTTGCATTATGGCTATGGTAGATGTGTTATACTGTACTATAGCATACAGTAAATTTAAAGAACCAAATTTTCCCAAACTTCGTCGTCCCCCATTGCAAACTCAGAGCATGAGTATAACTGCAAAAATAATGTTATGCTTATACGTCAACCCCGTACGAAGGACACTCTCTGCTAGTTTCTTCATATTTCAAAGAGCATATCAACACCCGAGATCCTATTACACTTTAAAGGCAGAGTTAAGAAATATACCAAGATTAATCACTAGATATTGCAATTCTATTGACTAATACATGATTTATCAACAGACACATCTGAACCAGAGATTGTATCTTTCTTGAGCCATCACAGCCATTACGAGTGTCACCAACTGGATCATCTGCACAGTGTACAATGGATAACATGATTGTTGTGAATAAACGTTTGTCAAACTATACATTCATTGTGTGTCGATCGTTTACAGGAAGCTTCAAGAACTTTGAAAGTCCTAGAAGCATTTGAGAAAAGTCAAGACAAACCTTGTGTATTTGAAAAATGAAATATGCTTTTCCTTATTGGATCGAGGTATAATTATTGTTATGGTCGACCACCAACCAAATAGCATGATCTGGAAAGAATTTTGCACTATTATCAAATAAAATGCATACATTTTTTGTAAGAGGTTGGCGGCCTCTTTTAACCTTGCATTTCCCCGTCCACATAGATTACAGATCTGTGCGTGGAATGTATCCAGCAAAGCAAGGGGTGAGCCGGTACGAAGGTGATTGTACTGATAAATTTTAGTGGCAGTGACCAGGATCCGAACCCACGACATCGCTGCCTTGTGCCCAAAGTCCGTGACGCTACCAACTGAGCCACCGACTAACCTAAGTGAATTTCATAATGCTTTCAATTTAACTTCATTGTAGTTGTTGGCTTTCAATTTAAAATTACACTCACATGTCTAAGCCGAGAACAATATGGACAATTAAAACGGGTGATGTTTTTGGCCTCCTGTACATCAAAATTATAAAGTAAAGACCTACAACTAGGAAACAAACTTACAAGACTTACTAAATACTAGTAATACAATGTGTTACAAGTTTAAATACCTTTAATAAGAAGGAAATTAAATTAATCTCGTTAGCATAGAGTAAGCAAATATGAACTGATACTAAAAACATTCAAAAGATCAATTTTATTTTGCACTGTATTAGATGTAATAAGTAATTTTTAAAACAAAAACAAACTGTTTTCAATTAAGTATTGTCAATATTAATCCTAAATACCATTAAATAGTCTATGAGACCAAAAACCAAAAATATTTTCTGACGCAACATTATTTAAAAAATTTCATAGAACACAAAAGGAAACGTAGCCACACAATATTTTATTGCAGAATTATACACCCAGCATGGCAAGTAATGGAAGTAATCTTCAAAGGCTTACTGTCACATAGCCGAGATAGCCTGGCGTTATGGGGATCTTATTGTTATATGAATTGTGCTTTTATACGGCTATCCACATAAAGTAAACGAACGGTAATATACTCGTATATGTAAGTTTAACAGCGCATGTAATAAAACATGGATGTAAATATTGACTTATTATTAATAATTAGTATCATAAAGTCAATGGTTATACTTACCTACTAGTTATTTAGTTTGAAAATGACAAAAAAGATACACTTTAGACAACACTTTGCCAAAACTGCTCGAAGATGTTCCCATCCAGTCATTGGTAAGGATGTTTTATCCACCTGATCTCCACCACACTGGAGTCAAGCTGTGGTTAAAACGATAACAGTTTCAAGAAAAATGATCGCTTATCGTGGTCCAGTGAATTAGCACCCTGAGTCACCCCACCTTACTCCGACGGATTACTTTCTATGGGGTTGTTATTATATAAAGTCAGAGAAGTGTACAGAGTCAAGCCTCAAACAAGAGAAGAGCTTGTACAGAGGACACGCACCATAGCAGAAGTAATCCTAACATGATGAGAGCAGCTGGGTCATCCCTGCTTCACACGAGGTAGACTGTTTGGGTCTCAAAATGGAGGTCACTTTTAAAAGTCATTAGTTAAATGAATTTTATTTCAAGTCAAGTACACTTTATGTGTTAATATTCATTGTGTATGTAGACCAATAAATAAGAGATTTTTTCGTAGTCACTTAATTTGCATCATTAATATTAAAACATGCCACAAAAATGAAAAACTGGGAAATACTCTGATTAACAAATCAGATAAGTAGTTTTAAGAAGTTGCTTAAATATGCAAAATATCGTATTTGATTTATACCCATAATGAACATAGGATAGTGAGTTTGCTTAAAAATGAAATAGAAGGGTATTTTAGGCCCCCTCACTTACAGCAAACGAGTTACCTTTGTTTGAGTTCATCTAATTTACCTGTGAAAATTTAATTCTAGGTCCTAATATACACAGCAAAAGGTCACAAAACACTTCTCAACCAAGAGAACCAATATACCCACTTTTATTAGGGTATGTTTAAAATAGGCTAAATAATATAACTTTTTTTGGTTCATTTAATTTAATTAATATTTAATACTTACTATATTTTGGATTTTGACCAAACATAATACCAATAGTATACATGAATTGCTATGTTCTTGTTTTCAATTAAATTATTCGACTTTTAATAAAGTTGTAAGCCAAAATATATACAATTGTTACAATATAAAGAGCTGTCAAAGACAAATAAATAATTATTGGATCTCAATTTTTTCCCTAGAATATTTGATTTTTAGATTTATAGTAAGTTTGTTAGAGAGAGCTCAAGTTTGTATGAGAGCCCATAGTAAGTAATAGTGCTAATTTTAATTGAGAGTATATTACATTTTCATGATATTCTGCATGTTGAGCCATGCTGCTTACAATTTAACTGAAATAACATTTGCTGTGTGAAGTTAATATATAGATGTTTCATAACAAGAGTAAATCTATCAGTTTTGCATACGGTTTCGTGTCTATGTGCAGCAACAATAGCGCCAGGGAGGCTGCAGAATGACCAGTAAAAATATTATGACCAACCGTCTGCAGGCTTTAATTAAATTTTCAAAGCAGGAAGAGAAAACAATCATCCTTGTTGCTATAAAGTATTTCTGGTAATAAAACAAAATCCTTATTCCATTTGAGTTTTATTTATGCCAGTATATTTGGCTTTACACAACTTCACCTTTTTAATTACCAGATGCATCTCTTAGTGAATAACGTGATTAACAACCTAAACAAGTTTTAAACAAATAAATCAAGCATATTCTTAATGTTGGTTTATCAATTTATATTTTTTGTTCATAGCCAACTAACGCTTATGGGACAAGTTTTATATCAGGGTTGGGAAAAACTATATAAGTTCTTTTGTACATATGGTCATTTTTTATTAGACGGCTTGGTTATCTTTTTCTGTCTTTGTATGGTATGAAGTTTGTTAGTGCACTGTTAAAACCACCTGGTTTCTTCTAAGCTGTTGTGTACTCAAGCAATATTTAATTCTTTTACTCCTGAGACATTTTACTATAAGAATGAGTTTAACTAGTACTTCGGAAGTACTAACTTCTAGTATCCGGGTTCTGTGAAATTTACCTCGTTGTGATAAAAGATCATTATTTACGGTGTAAACTTCAGGGTCGTTTTAACTTAACGTTAAATTTTAACAATAAATACCCCTGCCGCAGCAAACCTGCAAACTAAGCGAATTTTCATTTGTCTGAATTGATTTCCAGTTAAAATAACTTCTAACAAAGTTAGAATAACTGTGTTGCTTTGTGCTAACTCCGACGGAACAGACAAACTCAAGCCCCTTGTCATAGGAAAGGCAAAAAATCCACGCTGTTTTAAGAATGTGAAAAGTTTGCCGACAGAGTATGAAGCAAATAATAAAGCTTGGATGGTTTCTGGGTTTTTCAGTTCTTGGCTGAAAAATATCGATAAGGCCATGAAGAAGAAGAATAGAAAAATACTTCTCTTTATTGACAACTGCTCAGCACACAAGGACATACCTCCTCTGAAGAACGTCAAAGTACAATTCCTACCACCAAACACAACCTCCAAGCTACAACCACTTGATCAAGGGATCATTAAAAACTTTAAAGTGAACTACAGAAGAGAGGTTGTCAAACGATTTTTGAGGGATATGGACAACGAGTCAATGACGCAGATTAATCTACTCGATGCACTATGGATGGTGTCAAAAGCCTGGAACTGTGTGACTTCGGTGACAATCAAAAACTGCTTTAATGCATGTGGTTTTGAGGTACCCCAACACACCACGGGAAATGAACTGGATGAAGTACAGGATGAACCTTCTATCGCGGACATAAATGAGACACCGGCTGAATGGACTGTAGCAGCACAGGCTCTGAATGTTGAAGAGTTGGCGTTCGTGGACTTCGTAGACTTTGACGACGACGTTGCTGTATGCGGGGAGCTGACTGACGCAGACATCATTACATCGGTTGCTGGAGGTTCGAGTTCGAATGCAGTTTCTTCAGACGAGGGAGAGGAGGATGAGGGCGAATCAACACAGCCAGACCCAACTCTTAAAGATGCTCGTGCTGCAATTCATGTGATTCGGTGTTTTTTTGAGAAAAAGTCAGTGATGAGTGATAGTGTTGTGAATTGCATCAATAACTTGGACATAGCATTGGATGCCGTAAACATAAAAGGTAAACAAGCAAGAATTGAAGATTTCTTTCATCCCGTTTTGCCAAAGTAGGTTCAGTAGGCCTACTTAACTACATTTTGAAAAGTTAAACTTGTACAGTATTTTGTTTAGAATTCGTATTGTTTTGTGTTTTGTTCAGTACCTGTATTTAAAATAATTTGTCTTTGTTATTCAACAGGTTTTTTACGTATGTACTTTATCAAACTTATTTCCAAACTTATTGCCCAATAATAAATAAAGTACTCTATGTGCATTAAAATTGTTTTATTTTGCTTCCACAGTTACTCTTCAATACGTGGGTAAATACAGTTTGAGTTCGATTTACATTATAAAGGTTTAGGATGTAAAAGTCGAGTTTAGATTCAGTAGGCCTACTTAACTACATTTTGAAAAGTTAAACTTGTATTTTGTTTAGAATTTGTATTGTTTTGTGTTTTTTTCAGTATTTAAAATAATTTTTCTTTGTTATTCAACAGGTTTTTTACGTATGTACTTTATGAAACTTATTTCCAAACTTATTGCCCAATAATAAATAAAGTACTTTATGTGCATTAAAATTGTTTTATTTTGCTTCCACAGTTACTCTTCAGTACGTATAAATACAGTTTGAGTTCGATTTAAAAAAGGTTTAGGATGTAAAAGTCGAGTTATAAAGGCCGCAACGTTACATCACTGTCAGGCCCAAACACCTCAGTATCTCGAACTTTTTTGTATGGCACCTTCATAACTCGAACCTCACTAACTTGAAAAACTTGATAACTCGAATTTTTATCATATCCCCTTCAGATTCGAGATATTGAGGTCCTACTGTATATTTAAATAACATTAGGTTTAACAAGTACCTAGGTTTGCTGCTACGAGGAAACTAATAAAGTGAATTTTTAACAAAATATTAAATGTAATTTTAGTAAATATTATTAGCTTAGTATAAAATAAATAAATTTGCCAAGTTTTCGGCCTAAGTATAAAACACTTGTTCAAATACTGTTTTTTGAATCCCAAAAAAGAACAGTTTTTAACTTGTGATTCGTACTGTGCTAACATCCGTGAAGGAGACGTATACATACTGTGCATACATAAAATTTCAGAACAGTAGTACTATGAGCTTATTGCGCCTTTTGAGTTCTCAGTAAAAAACGTCAGTAACAAAGAAATGATTTTCATGAGCGGATATGAAAAGCGAAAACAATTCTAAGACGGAAATTACTAGAATAATTATTTTCAACGATGGAATGAAGAATTCTAACTACTAAGGTTATGTAATCTACAAAGAGTTTAATATTTTACCTCAGTGAAAAGTTTTGCAACAACGCTTGCAAGATCATAGAAATGGTTTGGGTACCGTTCCCTTGCCAAAATCATAAAAATTGCCATTGCGGCAAACACGAAAAAAGTAGTTTTAAACATTTACTTTTAAATGTAGATTTATAACGCGCACAAGTTTGATATAACAGACATCACTTTTATGGTTGGTCAATACAGATGAACAATTTATAGTCCCGAAAAAAAAAACATAGCTATAACTGAATATCCGATTTCAACAAAATATACCGTGCATTTAAAATATAATACTAAACACCTTTTTAAATTGTACTAGCTGTTGGTCCGTACTACGTACGGGATGAAGTAGTCGATTAAAACTAAATATAATTCAGAACAGCTAGTTTACACGTATGCAATGAAAAGTTCTGGCAGTTTTAATTTAAACAATCTTTTACAAAAGTCACGTGACCAACTATTTCTTTCATCCGATTATAGGCCCATACGATTTGTATTTTAAATCTGATAATTTTATGTTAAAACAACGACTCTGAAGATTTGAAAAACCTTTAAGTGGGATAGGTGGGCGATTCACACACACACTGGTTTATAGTACAGTAGTTACCCACCCTTGCCTCTTCTAATGTTCATCCCAGTCTGGAGAAGTCTTTAATTGCTTGGTCCTACAAGTAGTCGTCTTACTCGTGGTACTCCTTGGAATACATGTTTAAAAACCATTTCTTTGGTTTTTTTGAACAAATAAAAATGTATGATGTTTTTCTTATTCATACGGTAACTTTCTAAAATAGCGATGCACGAACTATTTTAATAACCTTCTTACTTTAATAATACATAATAATACAATGTACAACCTATTAAATGAGATTTGAATGAGCTAAAAACTCAAGTAATAACAACTGATGATATCATACAAGGTTCAAAGTTAGTATTTCTTATCAAGAACATGTACATCTATTGTACATTCATCATGAAGAATATTATAAAACTGCAATCAAACTTACAGCTGCAATAGATGGTGCAATAGCTCAGAATAACATTACAACTTAACCTTGAACAAAGACACATCTTTTTCTAAATCGTCTTGTAATTAAAATACTCGATATACTAATGGTGTTTAGTACTTACTCTTAAGAAGACAATAATAACGTTCTGAAATAACTTTCATTTACATAAAATATTTACAAAGGTTATTGGCATTATTTCAGCTACGTTATTATAGTCAGCTACATAAACACACAAAATATATTACCCAAACTTCAGTCTGGATTTAGACCTAACCATAGCACGTGTACAGCCCTGACGAACTTATTTAGTGATATGATTGACGCCAAAGACAAGGGTAAATATAGTTCTCTAGTTATGCTGGACTATTCAAAGGCATTTGATTCAATGAACCATGAGATGCTATTGGCCAAAATGAAATATTATGGCTTTGACGAAAATATTTTGAAATGGATAAGGTCATACTTAGACTCCAGGCTGCAAGTGACGCAGTTAGAGAGTGAAACATCAACCCCGCTTGTCAAAACCCAAGGAATTCCCCAAGGCAGCTGTCTTGGGCCTGTTCTGTTCAATTTGTACACGGCAGACCTTCCTAGCTGTGTGCAACATTGTACAGTTCATTTGTATGCCGATGACTCACAGCTGCACTTGTCTTATGAGCCATCCCAGATTAGAGCTTCACTCGATCTCATTAACTCTGATCTAAGAAAAATCCTTTTGTGGTCAGAAGCAAATGGGTTGAAACTCAATACTGGCAAGTGTACTGTGATGCATACGGCGCCACAAGACTTGGTGCAGTCCCTCAGCGTGAGAGGAGTGAGTGTTGTGCTCAACGGGGAATCTTTGACTTTGTGTGACAAGTCAAAGACTCTTGGCGTTGTGCTTGATAGCAGCCTCACCTTCTCTGACCATGTCACACATGCCTCGCAGCGCGCGTTGGGAAGGCTGAGAGGGCTGTACAGGTTTAGAAGTCTGCTGCCAGAATCTGCGAAGCTGCGCCTCATGCAGTCACTAGTCCTGTCGGTGTTTACATATTGTCTCCCTGCTTATGGAAACAGCATCTCTGGAGTAGACATGACCCGAATGCAGAAACTGCAAAATTCAGCTATTCGCTTCATATTTTGCCTCAAAAAATTTGAACATATCTCTCCCTATAGAGCTGTAGCGGGGATGACAACAGTAGACACTGTTTGCAGGATCATGACGTGCTGCATGGTGCACAAGGCTCTTGTCTTACAGGAGCCACAGTACCTTCTTGAGAGGCTCTCTTTCCGGGAGGAGGTCTCTCAGCGCAGTACCCGCCATGGTGGTCTCCAGCTTCACTTTCCAAGAGTGAGGCTTGAGTTTGGGAGACGAGGCTTCTCGTACTTCGGTCCAAAACTGTACAACGACCTCCCCTCTGGCCTCAAAAAATATTCTTTATCATCATTTAGAGTTAAGATCAAAGAATTGTGCACTGATGGTTAATTATTGTTACTCATATTGTCTTGTTTCTGTTTTGTTATTGCTCTATTTATTTGTTGTTAGTTGTATATTGTTATTGACGAAAGTTGTTCTGAGAAGCAGTATTTGTACTGAGAAACGCTCGATAAATAAAGGCATTTTTATTTATTTATTTATTTATTTATTTCTTACAGAAGATTTCCCAACATTGCACTTTCCCTGACTTAGGACCACGTAAAGGTCAGAGTGAAGGATTTGTATAATCCCGGATATTGTAAAGTATTACCCTTATTCTAAGACTTGCCCTTATTTCGTCATTACCTTGGAATCTGTTATGAAAAATTTGAACCAATCGCTTCATTTTTATGATAATGACTACTGTTCTTGACAATATTTTCACATTCTATTCTATATATATACATTTACACATATAATATCCATTTACATTCAACAAGTAACATTCAATTCTCAGCTGAAGCCACTATTAGAATAACATATAATTTAGTTGGATTGTAATTATGTTAATTCCTGTATTCTGTCGATTACGCCGACCTAAAAACCACGGCCAAACTTAAAGGAAAACATATTGTTAACAAGCTTTTATCTTACACCAACTATCACAGTTACAACAACAAAGGAATACTCAAGGTAGTGCCTATGTGTTAAGCGTAATCAACTAAGTTAATTTTGAACAAAATATCGGACACAGCTAGTTCATAAAATAATTTCCACTTCAGAATGCAAAAGTCATTGATAAAAGCATTTTATCTCTAACTGTTACATTTAATTCGACACACGTCTCAGAATGTGTCTCATTTCAACCTTTCCTCCTAAAGTAATACACTTCTCGTTAAGCGGCAATTAGTGTAAAGCACAGTTGGAAAAGTAATTTAACTGAAACAGTCGTTAAACATTAAATATCTCATCTCCTCTTAACACTCTCCTTAACTTTGTAACAGATAGTAACGCTGTTAATTATTTAAATGTTTGAAGATGGATTTGACATCTTCTCAAACTTATCGCGTGTTAATTGAAGTATTATTATATTATTAAAGTATTATTGGGTAAATTGAAAATGGCTACGTATAATGCGTAGCCATTTTCAATTTGTTCAAATTTCATTTTCAATTGTGCCGTACTGGGCAGGTAAATTACCAGAGAAGCCCCACTTGTATACATGTAAAACTTTAGTAGTATTAACTAAACAATTTTTAAAAAGTTTGAATTATGCAAACATAGAATATTCAGTCAAAACTTGATTTTCAATGTCCATCTACAAACGCCAAACGTTGCTTGCTGAAAATAAAATAAAACTTTTATAACTT